CTATCATCATCATTATCGTGTCAACCCACAGTTACCATACCGTTACAAGCAATAGTGGTCACTAATGACCTAGTAGTTGATGCGACCTTAAATAATAACAAAAAACATTTTCAAAATAGTCGAGATCATAAAAGGAAAACATTAAAAACCGGAGTCATTCGTGTGAATGAATTTGGCTAAGCAATAGATATCAGCTGACGTAAACTATCAAATGGTTGCTTTGATACTAGCTATGAATCTTTGGTGTTACCAAAACACATATTTTTTGGCATTGTTTCTAAAAGCTCCACAACATTACGCTACTACATAACCAGCAGAAGTGTTGTAAAGTAGCTAATTATTTTAGTTCTACGAGACTAGAGTTCATAACCTCAGAGTTTACCTGGTGGCATACCACTACGCCACAACACCGACGCATGGATCAAACTCGGAAAAAGGTATACAAATATAAATGCCCGATTCATATAAAAAGAACTCCAACAATCAAAATATCCGGTAGAAAGTCCCAAAGCCACCAGTCCGGTAAGATCAATAAGGGAATATCAATTTTGAAGAACGCTAGCTGAACAGTTTAGACGCTAGCGTCAACCACAAAGGGCACACAAATAACAGACGGACATTTTGCCGTCAATCGATTTTTCGGTATGAAGAACCAACAAAACATGGATTCTGGCTACACCACGAGTTGGAGAATTATTCTTCTAAATTTAGTAACAGGATTTATCCAGTTTCTTATTACCAGAACCCGCCAATAATATTTATTCTGGCGAAATTTCGATGTTTTCTGGCGCACGATTACACCACTTTTTCTTCTTACGAAGAAAGAGGGAAAATAATAATAATAATAATAATAATAATAATAATAATAATAATAATAATAATAATAATAATAATAATAATAATATTTTGAATACATGCCGTATTGTCAGAAGCCATCTGAACCTTCAGTAAAGCAACCACACACCTGGTCATCATACCTGTGTGTGGTTGACACACCGACCAGTAGATACTGTGAATAATGTAAGACAATAATAATAATAATAATTTCTGAAACGTTTAGGATATCTAAGCTGGTCACATGGCTAGTGTTTAAAATGTATTTGAATTTCATGACGATAGATTCATTAGTTTTACATATCGCAAAAAAAAATTTGAAAAAATTTTAAAAGTTACAAATTGCAAAAACACGTACAGAAAGGTTCGGTTCATTTGTATATGAAGTAATTGCATTTGTGGGTAGAAATGCTTCTAATGATTTTCAATAAAGTTTCTGGAATCCCTAATAGCTTTCCACAACAAAATTTCATCAAAATAAAATATTCATGCGTGCGGGACTCGATCCGATCTTAGGTTTTACCTGATGAATCCGATCATGTCACTTAACAACCCCGGCCATCCAAGCCATATTACTCAAGACACAACTGTTGCAGTTCTACTATTACGGAGCTGAGAGGGGGTTAAAAGTTGTAAATTACATACACAAGGTTCCGGATTCGATTCCCGTAGAGTCCCCGTAGAGCCTAATGTAAAATTTGTTTCGACAAAACGAGATTTCATGCTTCACAGGGGCAAGTACAACCCATGTGAAATGTCCTAAACCCAATCCTAATGCCTTCCTAATTTTGGCCGCTAAGAAGTGACGCATGGACGCGTAGTAGGAGGTGCGTACGCGGAGATGCTACTTGGCAACTGACTGCGACGAGATGTGACAGATATGACATGAAATTAATTAATGGAGGACCCCCCCCCCGGCTTGGAGACGCGTAGCGTCAATTGAAGACGCAACAATCTTTTTTAATTGATTGTATTTGTTAGTAGAATTGCTCAAATGATTTTCAATGAGTTTCTGTAATTTTCAATAGTTTTCATCTGCAACACAGAATTGTACTAAATGACTATCGCTGAGCGAGTCTCGAACATACGGAACTTGCCTCCGAAGCACTGAGACAATTCACATCATTTAATCAAATTCGGCTACCAGGGTCGTACAGGGGTAGGCACACCTCTAGTAGTCAAAAAAGTTTCGAGATTCAATTCAATTAGGCAGCTGAAAAATTCACGTGTAAAATAAAGGTCTTTTGGACAGAAAAAGATTGCAGCTTGCAGGAAATAACTCGACGCAGTAAATATTTTTTGTTGGTTAAAAGCAAAAGAATTGTGACAAATAATTTTCTTTGTAGAGGATAAAATCATATCTTTGTAGATGATACTCAGAAGCTACACGGTTGTGTAGCTTCTGAGTTGAAAAATACACACCTTACTGTCTGTATTCGGGCTACTTGCTAACTTTTTCATCGCACAATGCGTCCACTCTGATTTTCTGATACTCTCGCATGGCCTTGAGCAATAGTACCTGGTCGGGGAGTTATGATTTTGAACGCGGTGCAGAGAAACGCGTGAATAGAAGCCATGCCTGTACACATGCACGCGCTCAGAGAGTAGGGAGAGAGGCAATTCCCCTACGGCCTACGTCTGGAGTGACAAGCGATCCCAAGGTCGAAATCCAAGTTAAAACTGAAGCTCTTCTCCTTCAATATCCGGCTGCCACGACTAAATCGTGTGTCACAGGGATGGAGAAGTTAAAAAATTATTGCAATACATTCATTTCATTAAGAACATCTCGCGCGTCTTTGCCAATTGCAATAAAGTCACAAGAATTTATTTTATAAAGATTGCTTACCCTATAACGATTGTTTTCCTGATTTACTTGTTCTTTCATTTATTTACTTTCTAAAAGTGTAAATAGCAAGCTGTTGTATATTCAGGCCAAAGCAAACAACAGTTTGTAATACCAAGTCACTTTATTCCACATTTCATGACATAAACAGATATTCGAAGCCAGGTCGCCGTTTACCAGAAGATGTCCCTGTACCATGCGCTAATCACAATCACCAGACGAATAACCGTATTACCTCTTAACCTCTTGAAAATACGAGACACGTACTCGTTCACACGCTGCACTAGCTCGGGATCGACTGTGTTCCGCTGAAATCACTCGACCGAACACCAAAGAGTTACGAGTTTGATTGCGAAGGGTTTTCATGAGAAAAAGTACACGGTAGCTCTGTTTTTAGATGTTACTAAAGCGTTCACCGTATCTGGCACACAGGACTGAAATACAAATTCCGCATCTAGGTATTCCTAAGTATCTTCAAGATATAATTGGAAGTTACTTACTACTCAGATCATTTCATATTAAAATACTTGACACTACGTCGGATAAATACAGAATTTCAACAGGTGTTCCACAAGGTTTCCCATTGTCACCGGCTTTATTCAAAATTTACCTTGCCTATTTTTCGGAATTAATGGATAACGAAATAGCCTTGTTCGCAGTTGACACTGCCATCCTCTCACAACATGAAGAACTGATTATTGCTCTACACCTACAGAATGATACCTACAGAATGATTTAAATACCAATTAAATTGACTGGTAAATGGAGAATCCAGATAAACCAAAACAAGCTAAAATTTTATCGCTTAAAAGATTCATAGCTCCACCAGTTTTAACAATCAGTAACAATCATGTTATCTGGCTACAAATAACCAACCAATCAAATACCTAGGAGTTAAATTAGGTAGGAGATTAACATCAAAGATCCACATAGTTGATAATACTAACACAACCTATTTAAAAATGGTCAAATTTTACCCATTAAAAATAAAAACTCTGCATTAAAAATAGAAAACTGAGCAACAATTTTTAAACCTATAATTTGCCCGTCGCTCACCTAGGCGTGTTCAGCATGGGGAGGCGCTGCACACACGCATAAATTGAAAATAATCCAAAACAAATTTCTAAGACTGGTTTCTAAAGCTCCCTGGTGATAAGGTAATAAACATTATATTTGATTGTAATAACAGTATAAATTTTTTATTCAGTAGTGTAGTTTTTTTACTGAATTATATTTTTGTATTAAACGTAAACAACAACTGTTTATAGATTGACACAAAAGCTGAAGTACGTGTACTTGTGCCCTGATGTAACTAGATGAGACTTATGTTCGTCATGTAATGTATATTTTGTAAATTATAACCAGCTGAAGGGCCTGAAGGGCCGAACGGGTAGGAAATATTTGTTTAAAATAAAATTTAAAAAAATAATTTAATAATCTAGATTCATAGGCAAATCGTTGCAAGTGAAACTGAATTTTGTATTGAGTATTGCCTTCTGATTCTTCCAGAAGGCAATTTCAATCAAAGGCTTCCAGAAGAGTTTTCTATGTTGTATTTCTTTATTTGTGTGAACGTTAATGTATAAAATAGGTGTCTACTCCAAAATGCAGATTATGTGTTTGTTCAGAAAGAAGTCAACTACCAATACTTATAACCGTATCCCTCGTCCTTAGTCATCATTAATTTACTGTAGATTCCTACAAGTCTTTAGGACTGAACCAACCAATAGGGATGTCTTCGGAGCCCGTACATCTGCTTAATAAAGTGGTTCATTGCTCCTCTCTGCCCGTCTCAATCGGTGAGTACGGATCCTCCGAAGAGATGATCAGCTCGCGGCACCCTCCGGGCTAGATGATGTGCAACACGTTACGAGTGAAAATCGTATGGAGTTTGCAATATTGTATTAAAACATAGCGTAACCGTTACAAGTAACGCAAGAATGTATGAGCTGATGAAGTATCACCAATAGTTTCTACATTTTAATATCTTGCAGATATGAGGGAATCCAGCGCTCTTGATAGTAAAATTAATTTCTAATTTTTGTTCAATTATCGATTTTCTGGGCCATAAATCACTAATTTCCTCAATTAATGTTAATGTTATTACTTTACTTTCATTGGTTTTGCTTATATATCATACAATTCGAATGAACATTAGTATGAATTTTTACCTTCATTTTTACATCACATTTATTTTCATTTTACATTATGTATTTCAAGAACATGGTTTGTTATTTAAAGTTCAGAAATGTAGTGTACAAAAAAGCAAAAAAGGGCGTCCATAGTGATGCTGGTGGTAGGGCATGCGAGTCCATAAACGCACCTGTTAAAGCGGCCACCACACGGAGTCTGTCGCGCTGTCCCCACGGAAATGGGGTGGGAGAAGAAGAAGTGAGCGGACGTCCCGGCGTCGAGAGCGGAGAGAGCCAGCGTCCAGGCAGCAGAAGCGTTGCTGTAGGCGGAGAGTGGGAGCGGCGCCGCCAAGAGGCGCACAGAAGCTGTGACTGCCAGCAAGAGACGCCTGCCTCTGCCAGCAGCACCAGCCAGGCGCAGGATTGCACGCGCCTTCAGCACACGCCCCCATCTTCGCCCCGACCTTGACTCCACAGCTGGCACTTCCGCTTCCAAGCTGCACGTCACCTGCCACACAAGCCGTCATTCATACATTTACCATCTTGGTTCCAGCAGTAGACATTTACTTTCTCCCTTTCTGTACGTACATAGTACTATTTATTGTCATGTTGTAGAAGGAACCTAATATTTTGAGACAGAAAAACTCTAAGTAATGGATCGTTAAGGAAACGTTGATAAATCATCTTCCTAAATTTAGTGAATTACATTCTCTTACACGCTGTTTACCCAGACTCGTCGTTTCATGGGTACTTCATACTGAAAAATCGATTGAGGACAGGAGGACGGCCGGACTATCCGTCAGTTTGCAGTTAACGCTAGACGAAGCGGGGCTAGATCGAAACACTCGGGCTCCCTAAGCCCAGTAATGCACACGTGAGCTGAGTGGAGAGGGAAGGAAGCTTGAGGAGGATACTTGAAGCACGTTGAATGCCGCAATGTAAGCAAATGTACAACAGAGCGCGTGAACTGAATTTGAAAGCTGTTGAGTATTAGGATAAAAATTTGACAACAAATGTTGGCTGAATCAGCAGTTAAAATGCCTCGCACGTACATAGCATAATCAATTTAAGTTTAGTGACTTTATAGTCATGGATATTGATTTTGAACTTTTTGACAACCCTTTTGCTGTTGAAATCGTAAATGACACAATTACAGTGCAATTGAATATAAGCATTCTGATAGCACTTAAAATATCAGCAAAAATTTGATTGGTAATTCAAGAAATTTTGAAAACTTGTATTTGAAGAAAATGTTATACAGTAACGTAAAGGTAATGTGGTAAAGGTAATGTGGAATACTTTTTACATTCTCGACTATAACTTCACAAATTCGCTAAGATTAGAGTAGATAATTACACTGGTGTTTGTGAAAATTGCATCAATCAGAAGGAATGGTCGGAATCACTTAATAATTGGGGTATGTGTAGAACAGTGTATCCATAAGAAGTGATAAAATTTACATATAGATGCCTAGTATTGCTACATGTGTATAAATCTCCTTTGTGTGACAGGTGCGGTCAGTGTTACGTCACACACTTGGAGTAGAACTGTGAAATGTCGTGGAAACGTGAAAGCAAGTGCCGTACGCCTCGTCGACGCCAAGGGGCGCAATATGAGCATCATGAGCGTTATTCATTTTTACATATTTTACATTTTATACAAAATCGCCAATTACGTTATTGGATATATGTTCACTAACACATTCCCAGTCATGTTGAAATGCATATTTATATTTTTTGATTTTTGAATATTTAATAAGTATTATATACAACATAAACAATGAATTTTTTAAACAATTTTGATTTAGGAAAAATTGCTCTCTCTCTCTCTCTCTCTCTCTCTCTCTCTCTCTCTCTCTCTCTCTCTCTCTCTCTGTGTATATAT